AGGATGTTAAAACTTAAAAGGTAGGTAATCACTAATTAGGTAACCCGTTTTTTTTAATTATTGTAAAATAGCAACACATTCGCATAATATAAACTGCGAAATTTTAAATTAACATTAATTATAGTTTAGGTATGTTTTAATTATTGATAAATATGTTGATAACGGTTTAAAAAAGCTTGACCTTTGAGAAAAAAAATAATACATTCAAATAAATGTCCTGGTTTTGTTTACAAGAAATATTAATGATAATTTTATAATCCTATTGAAATGTTTTTCAATTCGCAATTTTACTCCCTCTGAACCCACCCTTGAACGTCATCAGTAGTCATTACAAGAATATAGAAACATTTAACATAACTCTCGGGTCTCTTGTCGGATTATATTAACATAATAAATTGAATAACTTCCAAAAAGAGTGATCGTTAACAATTATCGTTAAGCGATTTCTTCGATGTCAATGACCTACGAATTGTCCATTATTGAACCGTAATAAATGAAAAAATGTTTTCAAAGAAAACGAGTGATTATCATTTATCTAAATATTAAGTATTAATAGTTATGCGAGTGCGACAATGCTAAGGGGGAACGACGGACGGACATGTAGTTGTAAATACATATACGTTTAAAAATACAGTAATACTAACTTGGGATGCAAAAGTATTATAATTTGAGCGATGATGGCTAAGGTGAGGTAAGCAATACTTGTACATTATTTTTATTATTGAATGTTGGCTTAACTACAAAAATGAACTGTGATGAAAAACGGAAAGTTCAACGCTCCTAAAACAAACCTGAGACAGGCCCGTTAATATGTAGATTTGAATGTTAAATTTTATGATTTTGCTGTGCAAATCGACGCCGCAAGTGACTTTAACCTGGTTTTAAGTAAAGGTCGAACCCCTTTAGCCGAGGACAAGAAGGCTATGACCCGAGTTAGCGGTTTCCGGTGCGATAAAATTTAGTTATTTTTGTCTTTAACGCGAAGAAACCGATAATAACAATAATAATATTAATACTATGGGCACACTATTCGCAATTCGCGTTAGTGTGTATTTTTAGACCATAATAACATTAATTAAAGAGACTGTTGGTTGTTTTAACCACGTCGGCAAGATATTTTATTTTGAATGAAAAACATAAAAGCGAAAAGCCGCATTGAGAGTAAAAGACAACCGGTTTTCTGGTTTTCATACCGGACTTAGTAATATACTCTATTGATTTGTGTATGCGTGTGTGCCCGCACAAATAAAATAATATACAACTACTATTAATAGTAATTGTGTGTATGTGTTTGTCATCGTCAGACGTCATCGTCTTCTCATGCGCAGTACACTTAGATGTATACTAGAAAGGCCTATTAAACAGATTCCCACGACGATGGTGCTGCTGTTCGGCACAGCTGTGTAGACGAGACGGACAGGGACAAATATGTAATGATGATTATGTCGACAACAACCTTATACGGTCTAATTGGGACCGACGCAGCGATTATATTACTATTATATACATGTATACATTATAAGGTCATGACGCCGGCAGTAGCGGAGAAGAAATTCCACTGTAGGTCTAAAAAAAAAGTAAATCAAAGAAGAAAATTCGAGAAAAAAACGAAACATACATATATGTACGTTATATAAACGCGTCTAGCATGCACCGCAGCAGCATCATTATCATCATCATCATCAAAACGACATACATATAATATAATGTATAGTATTGTTATGATGATATCTTGCGGTCCCTCTAAACGGAAACCGGCGATAAAAATCTTACAACGGCGGGGTCGACCGCTAAATAGAAAAGAATTATTCGAGCCGACCGCCGGCTATTTCGGACACAATGACCGTTTTATATTTATTTTCATCGCCGTTACCTATTTATGCCCAGTGCCAGCCTCTCTCACACGCTCATGTAATATCGGGTACGACACCGACCACGAGAGCCTTTCACCATAAGCGTGATTAAATTATCGGGGGCGCTAAAACATTAAACGGACCGAAGTGTGGACGAGTCACAAATTCATTCGCCAAGAAAGTCACCAAGTATGACAAAATATGCCACACTGTCGTCAAAATGTCTGTTAGAAAATCGGTTTATATTTGCACTTCATTATACATTGCACTTCTTAAGTTGTACGTAACATTTTTGTTAAATAAGACGGTCAATGAGAAACAGCATGTCGATCTTACTGGTAAGACTCATTCGTTTTTTTTAATATTTCCATTACTTATATTGTTGACTTTATGGTGTAGAAAAAACTTTATTTTGTAAGAAAAACAATAGTATTAAAACCAAAAAACCTATAAACAAATATTATATTATATTATTATAATTTTATAATATTATATACGTAATGATTATAGTATTATGGTATATTATGCCACTATAGTATGATAAAAGAAATATATATATATATTTCGTCTGCCAAATGGTTATTTAAGACAAGCTTAAGCGAGATGAGAGGTCGAGTGCAATTTACCTTTATAAGGACTATTAATTAAGAAACAATAACTATTAATTATAATTGAAAACTGGTTAGCTAACAGACATTATGTTACAACATTTTTGTATTAATTAAGAGTAAAAAGTATTGCATACTATTATGTAAATCGTTATTTCGAAATACAAATCAAATGTTATTATTCAAATGTGTTCAATTTAAAACGTGTCTTTGTAAAATCACTTAACGTCAGTTGTCAACAAAAGTATTATTATTACAATTTTGTATTAATTAAACTGTCAAAATAATTTTTCCTTTTTAGCCATATTTGTCGGTCAAATAGCTTAGGAAATCAACCGAAACAAAATTCTTCTTCTCTAAAGATACAACACTGATGTGGGACATTTTACGGATAAGTAGGTCGCTTTTTAAAGTGTCGCACATGAAACGTCGGCTCGCGGCCGTTAGGCGTTAACATTGATTATTGTATTAATTATTATTGTCCGAGATAAAAATGAACGAAAATAGAAAACTCAGATTTATTAATACTATTACTATTATAATTATTAACGCCGACGCTGACCTTTGCACTCGCGTACTTCTGGACACAGAATAGAAGGGACGAGAAGGGGCTGGTGTTGCTTTTTTTTATCTCGACCTCAAGGTTAAACATAAACAGCGATTACAATGTAATTGCATAGGTATGTTATAAATAATTCAAACGATAATAGAAAAAAATAGAACCATTATATTTGTTTTACTAATTATCATATTTGATTAGTTATTAAAACCATAACACATATAGAGTTGTGCGATTTAGCGCCAAATAAACGAGTCTCTCGTTCATAAACATATAATTTAAACACGCCTAGTTAAACACGGCTTGTAATCTCAAAAAAGCGATTTAAGAAAATTAAAGAAACGTTTTTTCGGTCAAACATCGCGCGAGCTTAGAGGAATTGCGTATAATTACACAACGATCACAATATGAAAACGAATATTATTGTTGTTATAAATTAGAAACCGATTAAGCAACTGCGATTCTAACCCAATCTGTTATATGTTATCAGCGGACCGACTGAAGTGGACGCGTCATATTGTATTATCGTTATTTTTTTTTTTGTTTTACCTATACCTATTGTTGTAATCAGCAAAGTATTAACGAGTGGTGTGTTCATGGAAACGAAGGGAGAAATGTTAATGATGTCAGTTTTAGGTACAGCGCCTTAGGTTAAGAACGACGGCAGTCGGTAATACATAATGAAAGCCACTTGTTGAACCCCATGGAATATCAGAAACGTGTGCCGCGTTTAAAATAATACAAATTTATCTACTGACATGGTACAATGAGGAGCTGATAAGTTATAAGTCTCAAGACAAAAAATTAGGAGGTTAACTCTTAACTATTTTATTTTTATAATTGATTAACATTTTTTTATAACACTTAAGTTACTATAGGCTATTATTTATTATTTTTTTTTTAATATCAGCGGCTTTAAGAATATTAGTTTGGTAAAAATAGCAACTATTTTAATACTACAATCTCTAGTATATAAGTACTAGTCTCTAATTAATATAAGTATTAAAACAGATAACTGATAAGTAAGGTCGGGTATAATACAGATAGTTCTGTTCTCAGTTCTATAGAAAATAATAAGTTTTATTTTTATACGAAAACGATAGCTAACGACCGACGAGTGTTGTAAAGACACTGATGGTAGCAAAGTAATGACGCGTGCCGAAGATACTGACCTAGGTCACCGTTTGTCGTTGGCCGGTTGCTCTTAGGCAAAGCCGGACCGAGTACCAGGGTAAGGCAAATCCTCTGAACGCAAAAAAAAAAGCTTAAGAAACTTGGCAGTTTGTTAGCTTTTTTAAAACTTGAGTTCACATAGGTATAGCGCGTGTACCATGTTTTTGTTGGTAAGCCTTTTTGAGCCAGACCGACTCTGTAACACGTGTCATTTTCGCTGACGGTTAGTTTATTAGTTAGCGCCCATCTTATACACATGAACGATGATAAACAATATAAAAGTTTACTGCTAGCGCAATAGTGTTATAGTTCTATCGACTATAAGACATTATTTTTATTAGGCGACGATGGTAGTCGTTGTAGCCTGTAGGACGTAGGAGGTTGTTTACACACACTTACATTTTAGTCATGGACCTATTAACGGATGGACGCGTCGCATTTGACCTTATCATGTCGGACTATACGAAAGTGTTAAATTTTATATGTCGGACGTTTGTTTTCGCCCGTTAAATTTGTAATTTATATACTCGGTTTCATTATTACGGTTAAACATTTTATAGAAGAAAAGGTTTTAATGACTCGGTAAGGGGTGGGCTTAAATTAGTTTTTTCAAGCTCCAAGCTTTTATATTAGTTTATGTATAAAAGCCGTTGTGACGGTATTATTAACGTACAAAGTCATGCACTTTATACACGATGTTAAACCTATTTTTTTGTATTTATTCCAATTAATATTACTTAAATAGTAATATTTAACGTTACAGGGTATAACCTATTAATTAATCGACATGTGGGTGTGGGTACTTACGATGACACGGGTGGCGGTAGAGGCGGCGACGTCGGTTCGCCCAACGGCGGACGTACTTGAGACTGTAGTGGCTACTGAGGTCTTCTTCCGGGGCGGAAGGACCGGCGAAGACGTCCTCGGCGAAGCGATGACGGCGTTGGCGGCAGTAGCGGAGGCGGCAGAAACGGACCGGCGCAAGATAAGGGCGGTGTTTGCGTTTGTTTTCGGTACGATTTGGTAAAAAAAAACAAACAAACAGCACCGTCAACGTGGGAGTAGAAAAGTTGTTTTCTTTTGCTTTTAGTGGGTACGTTTGTTTTTTTGGCGCGAACTCACACCGGGTCGAACGAACGTGATAGTAATATTATTATCAAGTCTTGGAGTGGTTCAGCACGAATATGTACTCGACTAAACTGTTTCCGGACGGATTACCGGTACTGTAAGCCGGTATCATCTTGTGGCCGCTGCAGCCATCGTTTTGGTCGCTTCTCACCGGGGCGAACGGACGGACCCACACACACACACTAAACACGTTTACGCGCGCACAAAATCACACGCGTCCGCACGACAATACCGCGTTAATTGAACAATTTTTTAATATTTGTTTTTTATTAAATAGTTGAGGAAGCAAAAAAAAAATTACCTCCGATTATCTCTAATGGATTTGTCAAAAATGTACTTAAATTCCAAAAAAAAAAATATATATATATACAGGTATATATAATATATATTCCGTGTGATAACACACACACAGACACACAACAACGGCGGAACGACGTGTTGTATAACTATAATTGACGGCGACTCGTTTGTTACTAAGAACAAGACGGACGGGCGTTGCACGTTTATGCGCTAAACCGAGATCCACTACTCTACTACGGACCCACCGCCGCCGCTGTCGGACACGGTTCCCTCTCTTCGTCGTCGTCGCTACCACTGTCGACGCCATTTGGCTCGGTTCCACCGTACGTCAGCGGCCACGAGAGAGCCGCCTTACCGTTTTGTGTGTGCATAGGGTATTTTTTTTTTTATAATCATCACAATTCCCATAGTATACACCTGTTTCAATCGCGTGTCTTTAAACGACGGCGATTCACGCTCGACATCGTCGCCCGCTTGTCTCCTGGCGTCGTCGCCGCCTCACCCGCCCCCGCCCGCCGTACCAATAATGTTCACTACTCGATACTGTCTGTTCCCGTGAGTATTTTTTTTGTCACCCCGAAGATGACGTGTATAGTAGTGGTTGCGAATGCCAAATATACTGGCACGTGGCCTCCTCTTTCGTAGTCAAGTTCGCCTACACTTCTGTCGGTGTCGGTCGGGCCGAGAAAACCGAACGGTTATCTGACAATTTGGCAAACATAATTGATCATCACCCGCGAACGGCGGCTCACCTGGTCGTACGCTAACTCTAAACCGACGTCGCCATTCATGAGTCTTAATATAATCCTTGTTTGTTCAGTTTCTTCACCGTATAACTAATAACGGTTCTTCACTGCTTTTTCAATAGCGAAGCAAATACTCAAAGAAGGTGAAGTCACGCTCTGTTTAGGATTTTTTTAAAACTGAATAATTTTTAATATACGTATCTTAATAGAATCTTCTTCTTTTCTACTTCGTCTTCGCCTTACACTCCCAACTACATGGGGTCGGCCACCCTATAATCCTACACTTCCATAGAGCTCGATCTCCTACATCTCGTTCAAACACCCCAGTTATCGTTATATCACTCTCTATTCTGTCTATCCATATTTTATTCTAATAGAAATATAATTATTTGTAACAATTGTACTAGGAGGGAGGATGATGTTGCCAATTAAGGGTCGAAGCCCCCATATCTTTCTTTGGTGTAAAATAAGTTAGCCCCCATAAATATTTAATGAATTTCAACCGGTGCTGCATAATCACTGTTTGGAGGGTTTGCTTTCAATTTTATCTTTCAGTAAAATATTGGTTTTCGTGTTTCCAATTACAACCAACGTAATTTATGTTTTATATGGCGTCTTTCGCCGAAGACAAAGAACCGAAACAAATTTAATGTTTAGAGTAATTATTTCAGAAACAAATATCTATTGTTCTAAGTAATTAAAAAAATTATTTATAAATGATTCGCTTGTCACGTTGTATTATAGTAAGACAAAGATTCGACTAAAAATTGTTTAAAATGTTTAGTGGCATTTCTTTTTAACAACTGACGTTTTCAGAGTTTAACAATTTTCGTCTCTATAATGTAATATTTGACTACAATTTGTTGGATTATGTTTTGCTGACATCCTAATCCACAAAGTTCTAGAAAATAATACGGCTGCGTCTTGATAAATTGCTTTGTAACTTAACAAACAATTAACCATAAGTTGAATTATGACAATGAAAACACGAAAAGAGTATTCTAGTAGAATTATTATCAACATGAATAGTTTATTTCGCAATGCATGATTAATAGTCAAGAGTGTAAAAGTCATCGTTAAACGCTGAGAACTTAAAAAATCTACCGCAAAAGCGTTTTCAAGAAAAGTTTTAATGTATTATAAGTAAGGTCCGGATAAATATTCTTTTAAAACACCTAAAATATGATTCTAATATTCTCTAAAAAACCTACAAATATTCTCTTAAAAATTAGATAAATAAACAAAAATAATGAATGAAAATCAATATTTCCTTTATTGAAATTGAATATTTACTAAATATTCTTCTAAATTTAATTCTGACTTGAATTAAATTGAAGTACAATTTAAATTACTTACCACTTATTTAAATTTTATTATATGAGTTAATAATTATGTATTCCTCGATATTCTCTGGGCTCATGTTAGTTCTTCTATCGCTTAAAAGTGTTTGTAGAGGCTAAATAAACGTTCAACATCAACTGATGTTAAAGGAGCAAATTTCATATCAGCAACTACACTAGGGGTGAAATGCTCTGGGAGATTTTCATTGTTTCCAGATAAAATGTTCCCAACTTTTCCTAACATTTGGTAACCTTTATTTTTTTCACATAATTGAGTCACTTTGGTTTTTATAATGTTACCCTTTTCACCAGGTTATTGGTAATTTTGTAAATTTTTGTTGTTCTTATCAGCATGAAAACGATGCAGTATGCAGGTTAGCCACCATGTTTGGTAAACAGCACGGCACGACGCGGCGACTTAATAGTAATATCACTGCGTGTATTTTTTTTATGAAAATATTAATTGTAATAATTTTAAAATTAAAATTAATTATTATGTTTTTCTCACAATTTACAAAATATTCCAAAATATGCTAAATAAGCTAAATATTCCCTAAACCATGAAATATTCTCAAATATGCAAAAAAAACTTTTTCCTATGAACTCTGTGATGAATGAATCGTCCACATTTTTTACCCTCATAAGACTGCATATACTCAGTAACAATATGTAAAAACATATAAATCCGGACTTTAATTATAAGATTAAAATAACTCGCTGCTCATGTATGAGATGAAATTGAAACTAAATGAACTTTCTTCTTGAGATATTAAGTTCTAGTTTACTTAAAGAAATAAAATAATATAATTAATGGATAAACCATACATTTAATTCAATTAGTCTAAAATCATTTTAAGCTGTTGCAAATGCTATACCGTCGATTCTATTAATATTTACTTATTCCTACTTAAGTTGTAACCTTTTTTTTAATTTAAGTTAAAAATATAAACGAAATTAAAAAATTAATCCAAAAATAACGTTTTTAAGCGCCTTTAAAAGTATAAAATACACCTCCGGGGGTCTTGATAACCAAATAGGACTGGTGAACTAGACAAACGTGAGCGAAAAACAAATTTTGCATTTTAAATTCGTGGTGCGGTGAAAATATCTTTATTGTTTATTCTCGACTCTCGAGTCCAGATCTATGTTAGAATACACGTCATAGAAATATACAATTAAGTTTACGGTATACGTATTGTTAATTAATAATTATTATCCCTACTTAAATAGGAACATTATCGAGCGGAATCAGAAATTTCGCATTTCCTTGAAGTTGTTTGCGCCAAGATATTGAGAACCGGCCAAATGTGCCATTGATCATATGCACACTCATAAATTGTATACACACAAAACAAACAGTTTATAAACTGATATATAGATATATTATAATTAACATTAAAAGATAATATGCGAGTGTGAATTCAATCAAGAAAAATCGAGGTCATCCACAGCTGTTGTTCGGATATCAGTAGGTACAATCTCAGTATGCAGAACAATAATTAGGTGTATTATTTTAACAACAATACAATAACTTTATTACATTGCGTAAAAATAAATCTGTTGGAAATTACATTATAAATCGTTTAGCGTTTCGTTATCGCGTCAGGCTTCAATGTCGCTGGCGCGGCGGGGCTCTTTTTCTATATTCAATTATGATTTTTACAAAAAACGACTGTGTTGATACAATGTTTTTTTTTATTTAAAAGTGTATAATTAATATTTTATGTATTAATATTTTAAATATTTATCGAGGAATCTTGGCCTTCTAGCACCCCTAATTTTCCCACTATGGTAAGTAAGTACTTATAATTCGTATATTATAAAGTGTGGATCATATTATAATGCAGTGAGAAGACGTCGAAAAATACGGTAGTTGATGCAACAGAACTCTGTATTTTCGTATTGCCAATTAGTATACTAATAGATGTGAGAGAACGGACCATAAAAGAGTTTATTAATAGACATTAGAGTATTCTAATAAAATGTCCATCCGACAACCAATATCGATTTTAAACATTTCACTAATTTTATTATACGTGTAGGTCGTAGCAATCTTTTATATTTAGACAATCCGAAGGAGTAGGTTCAATTACGAACAATGTTTGTATTAATAAATTCCACTGACCGCGCTTAAAATTTTCCAAATTTTCAACGAATCTGAATCATCACTAAGTATATAAGTATTATTACATGTAAGTCATCAATGGTTCTCACTCAAAATATATTATCTCGAATTGTGTGAAAGCGAATGTCGAGTAATTGCCAATTTTTACAGACAGGAAAGGCGAAACACGTCCGGTTAAGCAAATGCATTCGCTATATTATTTTATTGTTTTTATCTTAAAGTTGGCACGCGAACTACATGTTTTATTATGATCATGTGAAACGATCCGTGCAGTTGTTACATTGCAATTTTTACAATCTAGTATCTACCAGACTGTTTGTACAGTATACACATCATACATACGATTTATACTTTTATAATTATTCCTAGGGAAAGCAGTAGGTGCCGTCTCGCTCGCCTCGGGCTCCTATGCCAAGTCTTTTCCGTAAAAAAATTATTCATCACGCCTTCTTTTACCGCCATGTTCTGCGCACGCTACTATTGATTTATATTTCAGTATTGACATTTAATAGATACTTATCGTTTTATGTGCTCACGTTTTTCTAATATATAGTTTATACGACCGTACCATGTGTGAAAATACATTAATACTATAATACATTTATAGTTCTTCGTTCACACAAAATAATATAATGCTCGTTTATTATACAGTCGTCGGCTGTTATCGGCATCGATAAATTTCGGGAAGCATAAAAAACATTTTGTATCAACTTTAACATTATAAGGGAACGGCCATACTCAAACTGTACAAATACTTAATTATTATTATAAAAATGACTGGATACCTTCGTTTTCGATAATTAAATATTTATTTTTCATAATAAGTATTCATGTTGTTATGAATTATGACAATAGCTGATTCAGATCACTGGCCTTAACTATAATACCTAATTAATAATTGCTTTGTTTCGTACCTACATACATTACAATATACAGCTAAACGAATTACAGTCTTTCTTCCGTAATCGGCTAACAGGCTAAACTTATAGTCAATGAAGATTTCGCACAT